CACCACGCGCCAGAAGAAGGGAAGTGTTAGGGCCGAGCTACACAGCCGTTCTGCTCAGCAACGGGCTCGGAGGTTGCGGCGACTGATTGCTGAAGCCCGAAACATCATGGACAAACTCGAAAGGGAGCTGCTGCACTTGGCACCGTGGCAGGCGGGGCGCCATGTTGGAGACATGAGCCCTTAATTTACCATTAATTCGTGTCCATTTTTTATTTCATCTGGCCAGGCGGGCACCAGAGTAGTTGGCAACGAGCGCCTTGCCTTATCCGCCCACCACCGAGTTGGTAATTTTTAATTGCTCAACAGCCGCCCAAGCGACAACATCACCAAATCAAATTAGCCTAAACTCGTGCATCTCCATATATATCAATTAAACTCTAACGTGTTATCACATTAAACGAATAAACCTGGATTTATATTTCAATTTCTACTAAACAAATCCCTTCATATTTTTCTTTGTGCGCTCTGCACAGTCGGACTCAAACCCAAACATTAAACATGGTCCTTTTGAGGCCTTTAGAAACGAAGTGGCACCTCAAAAATCTCCAAAAATAAAGAAACACAGCTCTGGGCGGCCTCTTGGGCATATTATAAAATTGACTCAAGTCAGTAGCGAGCGAGAAATCATAAAGCGCGGACATTTAAATACGAGCAGTGAGCGACAAATAGTCAGTCGGGAAATAGTAAAACGAAAAGACAATTTAATTTGCAAAAAAAAACCATTAAACGTGGGTGAAAATTATAAATTAAACAAACAAACAAGACAAATTACAAAATTAAACACGAGTAAAAAGTTTGTGAAAAACCAAAAAAAAAGTTTAAACATTGCGAGCAACAACATATTTGCTTTGCGATACCAAAGCAAATTGAACAGTGTGGTGAAATTACAAAAAGTTTGTGAAAAAACAAAAAAAAGTTTAAACGTTGCGAGCAACAACATATTTGCTTTGCGATACCAAGGCAAATCGAACAGTGTGGTGGAATTACAAAATTTTTAACAAATTTAAACAGTCAAACGAAAACGACAAAAATTTAAAATCAAACAAAAAATTTGTGACAATTGTGCAAAAAAAAACTACAAAAATTTAAGACAATACAATTAAGAGATTGTGAGAAAAATTTTTTAAGCGTTGCGAGCAGCATACCTGCAACAGCAACAAATTTTTAAGCGTTGCGAGCAGCATACCTG